ATCAAATACCTTCAAAAGATAAGTTGCCATAATGACACAATGACAAAAGCATTTATTCCATATAAAATGTATCTACTGTTTGTCTACCTTGATATTCCTGTATGCTAACATAATGATCAATCCTTTCAAAACATGATTTGTGTAGTGATGATTGAAACAATACACTTACATGATTCAGTGTGGGAAAAAGTTGGAAATCCATTTCAACAGAATCTAAGTTACCAGATTCTTCTTTGGCCTTCAGATATGCTTCATGTTCTTTTATACCTGCAACCTTGTACAGAATGAAAATGATACATATAAAAGATATAGAGCATATTGCATAGGTGCGCAGAGATACAGATTTTATCTTCCTGTGTTAAAAAGATCTCCCATAAATGAGCATAGTGTACGAGTGAGAGATTTTCAACACTAGAAGATAAAATTTGTATCTCCAAGCAATATTCTGTTATTATATAATTATCTATGAAAAGCAACTTATGCTGTAAAATAAATGTTATTTACCTAGTCCAATATAATATAGAGATATCATGATTGAGATATTTTCACTATTTTCACTATTTTTCACATGTCTGTAGTCTCTCAGACCAATGATTAGCACAGCACCAATTACACGAGGAAYGCCAAATAACAGCAATRAAAGAAAAGATAGTACTATATGGACAAGAACAAACAACCTGCTGACCATACCAAGATAACACTGCTTGTGATGTTCAAAATATAATAATTTATAATTATAATACATTTATTAATCCGTTATGTTCTGATACCTTGGCATTTTGCATTTGTTCTATGGTAAGATCTTTCACTGGGACCTCTAGAATCAGCGGACTGGGTAAATCCTTCAAAATCAAAATGACATGAATTACAAAATGGCTGCACGTGTCACTGAGTCTGTTTTTTCTTATAAGCACAGTACACGACTGGGAGAACAAATCTCTAAGCATGAAAACAGCAGGAACCCTCTTGTGCTTGCACACTATACCACTTGTCCATTAGATCTAACTTCAGTACTATTTTCAGACTAACCTTTAAACAAAGCTTGACAGTTGTGTCATGAAATACTACTGGAGTTCGTTCTTTAGAAACTTGGACATCCATTTCAACATAATCTATTCCCTGTCAAACAGTTAAAAAGAACTTTTTATTCGCATGAAAATTACACGGCGAAAATAATGACAGACGAGCCAATGGAAATGGCAATGGTTATAAGTAGTGATCAAGGCAAAAATGATCATCTTATTGATGTTCTCATGTTAGAGAATTAATACAAATTTGCACAATTTAATTTTGTACCATTTCACAGCTTATGTGGAAATTGATTATAATGTTTGGAAATCAACACATTATCAAGTGAGAAACTAATTAAACAAAACAATGAATGTGTATATTGAATATAACATGAGAATAGGAGTTTTAAAAATGCATTATTATCATTGCCACATGATTGCAACTTGTCCTATGTAGAGTGCATTGAAAAGTTTGAAGTACATTTGACAACTGACAAAATTTTTCTATTTTTTAGTTAATACAATTTTGTGGAATTTTTTTCCAAAATATTTGACAGACGGACGGTCCATTTAACTTTTAAGGGGGGGGGATGATTTCTTGTGAGCAAGATTGTTTTTTTTCTTTGTGGCTTTTGGGTATAATATATATATTTTTTCTCTTGGTGGTGTGTAGGAATTTTTTTTTTCTTGTATGTTACATTTTTTTTGGCTTGAGGTGGTGCAAGATTTTTTTTCAAGTCCATATGTTGTGCACGATTTTTATTTTTGGTGAAGATGCCTTGCAGGTTTTTTTTTTCAAAATCATCCAACCTCCCCCCCCCCCCCCCCCCTCAAAAGTTAAATGGACCGTCCCTAAGTAGATATCGAAGGTGATAGCAAAACAGCAAAAACAATTACATTGCTATGATGATTGGTTTCCCAATGGAGGTTTTGAACCACCATTTCAGGGTTTATCCGTTCCCCTGAGGGAATGGAAACAAACCATGCGGTCAGGACTGATCTTGTGTAATATGCCAAGCAAAGCAATTCGACTTTTGTTGGCTGGAACAAACCGCGTAAAGTGCTCAAAAATCTGAAATATTCTTTAGAAAAAAACAAACTTACAAATGCCTAAAAAGTTGTGCCTTGGTCTTGCCAAGTAAAAGAGTTTGTATTCATTGTTTAAAACAAGTTTGCTGTTTACAACTAAACTTCGAAAAGGAGTCGAGTCAGAAAAGCTACAGTAATATCCAAATTCGATACCGCTGACACAAAAGATCTCCTTGACCTTCCCAGAAGGCCTTCGTCACAAAAACAAATATATTCTAGCTGTCCTCATGGTTGCTGCTGTTCAACTGGTTGCTATGTTGACATTAGCATGCTTTTTTGATAGGAAAATATTTGACTTCTGGCACATGAAGCGCAAGGGATAACTTTGAATGTGCAAAACTATAGTGACTACGCAGCAAACAACACTGAGTGCTGTTACATACTGCATTACTGGTTGTCTGGTTCTACAAGGGTACATACTGCATTACTGATTGTCATATCACCTACAGTTCCTCTGCTTCAGAGTGACTGCAATTCAGTCTGTGCACTCATGGAAAGCAATTTAGTTAGAATTTTGCATACACCAGATGATATTTACCAGACGACTAGCAGCCTTGAAGGCACTGATTGTGTTTTCAGGATATGAAGAAGACCTAGAAGACAATATTCCATTGATGTTAAAATCTCATCCACACAAGTTAACATAGGGTTCTCAAGCACATTTACAATTCAATAGAAGTCCTTGGGT